AAAATCATACTCACTGCCAACGAGTCAATGCTCACAGTGACACAACACACACACACACACACACACACACACACACACACACACACAGTGGGTTTCTGAGACTGTTTACAGGAGTAGAAAACCCAGGTGCTGGTGGTCGCAGCCCAACTGGTAACCAGTCCACCACCAGGACAGACACATTTGAGTTCTGTTGCACATACGGTCACCATGAGCTAGACCCAATTCCACGGCAGCTAATGATTGTTCTTTCAACTCTAAGGCCCATCTAGGTAGGGGCCTCTTTTTAAATCCCTATATTATTGTCAGGGTCTAACACAATTATGATCCACAAAGAGGAAGTAGGCCAGGCCTTGCAGAATACTGGGAAACTTAAACATGAGGTGATAAGCATTGTTCTCTCCAAAGACAATCTCCAAGATCCCACGATTTAACCCAGAAGCAGACAATTTGACATGATGAGATAAGCCTAAATGTTGCTCTATAAAGAATCTTGGTGGCACAGTGGTTATGCCTTAGGTTGTGATCCTCAGGGTCAGCAGGTCGAAACCACCTACTGACTCCGGGGAAGAAATTAAAAAAACAAAACAAGGCTTTCTAGTGTAGTCGGGAACCCATAGGGGCAGTTCACTATGAGTTCACTCGATGGCAGTGAGTTTGGTTTTGATTTTTTGGAAACGATGCTAAGCACAATGTGGGAATTCAACTCATCCGCAGCCCCACAGGAGAAAGTTGAGGCTTTCTGGTCCCATCAACAGCCTTGGAAACCCTCAGGGGCTGTAAGTTGTGTGTGAGTCGGAATCCCTGACGGCACTTTTAGTGGGAAATGTTGAGAAAGCAGAGCCTGGACCCTATAGGCTTTGAGCTTCACGTTTACCTCCTGGCTATTGATTAAGAAGGGGGCACGATGCTGTAGCCTGCGGTAAAGATCCGCAGCCTGGGAAACCGTATGGGGCAGTCTACTCCGCCCTGCAGAGGCCTTGGGAGTCTGGCCTAGGACTGTGGTGGGCGGCAGGACAAAGCTAGTGCAGTCTCCTCCCTTTGTCTTCTTCCTAAACTGCAAAGATCTGCAGGTTTGGGGGCTTGGTAAGCTCCAAAGGACGGCCCCAGGCCGGGGGGGCTGCCTAGAGATCCACTCCCCGGGGAGGAATAAGCTGGGGTGGGGGACCCCCGACTCCAGTTTGGCTGCCGGGGCGCCAGGCTACTT